AAGAGTGTGTGTGTGTGTGTGGGGGGGGGGATTTGATAGCAGCCTTCAACTACCTGAAGGGGGGTTCCAAAGAGGATAGAGCTAGGCTGTTCTCAATGGTGGCAGATGACAGAGCAAGAAGCAATGGTCTCAAGTTGCAGTTGGATATTAGGAAGCACTATTTCACTAGGAGGATGGTGAAGCACTGGAATGGGTTACCTAGGGAGGTGGTGGAATCTCCATCCTTAGAGGTTTTTAAGGCCCGTCTTGACAAAGCCCTGGCTGGGATGATTTTGTTGGTTTTGGTCCTGCTTTGAGCAGGGGATTGGACTGGATGACCTCCTGAGGTCTCTTCCAACCCTAATATTCTATGATATGTTTATAGAAATATGCTTATGAGTGTAAATATGACATAACTGAAATACGCTTTGTGCTAGATATGCCATGTAAGGTTATGATTGCAAAGGTTATGATTTACTAAATATATTCATCCTATTTGTATGCATGTATCATTTTTATATCTAAAGGTATGAGCACTGGCTCTATGCTTGTATTTGGAGTGTTTGCTGTAGGAAACACATAAGGGAGATTTGTCCAACATATTGTGAAGGGAAGATTCAAGTATTGGGAGTACTTAACTAACAATAGACTTCGAGAGACGCCAATCCACATCTGAACTTTCCTGGGAACGTTCAAACTAACATGTAAACAATGGCGTTGGCCTGCAAAAAGCTGAATCATTCATGGACATGTGACTTGCCCAGGTGGCTACAAACTCCATCTTGTTGCTGTGATTATGCACAGAAGAACAAAGGGGTTTCCGCCCACAAGAGAGAGAATATGAAAGGCCCCAGAAGCCTCTCCATTAAGAGATGCCTAAAAGAAACTGGAACAAAGGACAGTAACTACGGAGGTGTGAGTGATTGCTGCACCCAGGCCATAAACAACAACGTTGGTCTGAAAAGGATGGTTCCTGAGATAACATCTAGGGTGAGAAGTTAGTATTTGTAACTAGATCCTTAGTGTATTAAAGTTAGCCTTGCGTATTTTGTTTTATTTTGCTTGGTAACTTACTTTGTTCTGTAGCAACCACACATCACTGAACAAAAACACTGACCCAGGAACCTATCCTTGTAACAAAGCCACATGACAACTC